TAACAGGCTTTCATTTTATCAAATCGAGATAATCAAAATGCTTTATACCGTGCAGTATGTAACTCTCGGATCGACAATTAGATTTTTACTTATCTGTTTAGTAGAACCGAAGTATGCATTGTCAAGTTTCAAAGGCTGGATTTTTGGCAACGAATAGCCTCTATAAAGTACAGCCAAGCAAAAACTGTCAAGTACCAAATACTTCACATAACGGTATATTGTTCGGCAAGTAAACAAATACCCTAATTCTACATTCAGTGCATGAGCTACATGTATTCAACCACATGTCACGTATACTACTACAGTCGAACTTTCGGCTATCCGGTTTAGGAACACTTTCACTTGCTAGAAATATTATAAATAGTTCAATAGATTCATATTGACAACCAACCGCTCCATAACGCTAAAATCCTCCTAATTCCGTGAATTCAGTTAAAATCGCCACAGAACTTCAAATTACACTAGACTTTGACATTTAACAGTTTTAAATTTTCCATCGCTTCACTTATTTCAATATGGCGGCCGATTTTATTTTTTTTAAGAATGAACATCCGTAAATTAATTCGCAAAATATGATTTTAAAAAGACGATTAAAACGGTACAAAACTACTGCCTATTCATATGCATACATGTATTACACAATATTTTTTCTAAAATAAATGACTATGATGGTGTTTAATTAAACCGTGCGGTAATTCTTGTCTGCTCTATTTTGTTTAGCGTATATGTAATATTTTGTTAAGTGGAAGTCAAATTTGGGGTTCTCAATGGGAGGAAATATGCAAATAAAACCCGGAAAAAGCATTTACTTCGGTAAAATAAACCGAAAAAGCATAAAATAAAAAGAAAATTTGTGTTTATTCTGTGTAAGATTGAATTTTATTTCATCTCGTGAGAATCAAAAACAGTATTCTCGTGAGAATACTGTTTTTGATTCTCACTCGATGAAATAAAATTCAATCTTACACAGAAAAACACAAATATCCTCTATTTCTCAAATGAAAATATTCTTCTTCTAAAAATAATAATATATATACATTAGGTTTATGTTATATCAACAAATTCGAATATCTAAACAGTCATACTACTTTTCTTATTCAAATAATGAACATGCTATGGCATTCCTTTATACAACCTTGAAGAAAGAAATATCAACATAAGTGTAAAATAATGAATTGTCCTTCTAGTTTTAGATATGATTCGTCTACGATTAAAAGACAATCACGACAATACTCTCTTACATGAATAATAGAATTAAGCCTAAAGTGAACTGAATAAAGAAAAAAAAAGCATTTAAGAACATCATTTTACAGAAGTCATAAAATATTGTCTGCCGGTATGTCTGAGATTTATAAAAACATTTTCCCTACAGTCTACACTAGACGCATAATTACTTATAATTATTGTAATTTTATCATATATTAGCAGCAAAGAACATCAATTTGCAATAGGCGTTATAGTATATGGGAACTCAATTATATGTTATTTAAAGGTTATATACTGATCGATGTCTTGATAACACAGTTTCCGTACTGGAGGGTGCAGTATAATGTGAAATTGAAATATTTCCATTTATACTTAAAAATTATAGAAATTTACAAAACTTCAACATTATATACACTATAAATATCGTACACAATCGTGTATCATCCCGAACAGCCTTTTAAACGTTTCACACACTATGGGTCTTAATACACGTTTTCGGATATTGTTCAAATTTCTCTATCTTTGTATCGGAAATGTAAAATAAAAATTCATAATATTTGTGTATTTTGTAATAGTATATCAATGTATCATAACCATCTGAGTTGAATATTTTCTGTTAACTGTACAGTATGAAAAATTCTGAAACTGTTTAACCATTTAAATCATGTCATGAATTTTTGATAACTTTGTATCAATATATAAATATCTAAAATTAAATTACATATATGATTTATTTCTCGCATATTCTCAAATGACAAATTAAGGGAATGGGACAAATATGAATTTCAATCAGTATCTAAAATTGGAATTTATTTTATCCTTAAAACCTTCATTAAGATCAAAATTGATGCACGGATAGTACATTTATCTGTTTTATTGTAGCAATTACTATAAATATCAACTTTTCCAATTTGACTGAGAGAGTCTTAACTGTGATGATTGAGTGTTTATATTCTAAACTCCAAGCAAAATAACTAAGGGTGTACATATATTGTCATTGTTCATACATTTCACTTAACAATAAGGACAACGCATTTCGTATTTATGTGACATAAGCTTTATAATCATCTATTCATTGTTTCAATAATGTTCGTGTTATCAACAAATATATTATCCGCAATGTAGGATTGAAATAATCAATCAGAAAATAACATGTAGTCATGTCATATACATGCTAAAAATATATTGGACAACATTTACATACACGAAGTCAGGAGACTTATTAAAGCCTTTTGCGTATTTTTAACGTTATGCAAAAGCACTTTGTTCCATATCATAATTGACGCCCTTTCAATGTATGTATTCATATTTGATAGGTATTTTTATAATGTTTTAAAACATTTTCTAATATGTAGCCATTAATTATTTAGATGCTTTCAAGAGCCACCATTGAACCTACACTATATTGATTGCTAGCTTGTTTAAATGTTTCTTATGTCACGTTTGAACTACTTCTGAAAACAGATGCATCCATTTCCGATACAAACCAATGAAACGAAAATTATTCTTCTTACATAAAGTAGAAGTTCCTGTACAACAGTAGAGGTAAATCTTCTATAAGATAACATATAATGAAATCTAGATAGCAATAACGGTATGTAAATAAAGATTAAAAACCCCAATAAGAGAGTTTACTACATTTTCCTTTAAAGCAGTAACTTCACAATGCATAATACAAAACAAACTTGATTGAGCTATTAGATTATAAGATTTGTAAAATTATGGAATGAATAAGGTAATATTCAAATATTCCATGACTTTAGCATTAATTGAGCGTGAGGGATGTTGCACTAATTCATTATCCCTCATGTGCAGACTTAATCAAACCGTGTCTGCAATTTCCATGTAATTTTGTTGTGATTAATGCTTCCGAGGGATCACTTTGTTTCCAGACTTTTATATGTTACAACAGCAGGTGTCGAATGCCGTGTTTTAGCTGTAAAAAGTTGCCCCGTACTTCACTTCAGTGTTGTAATATTTTTCTGGTCCTTCTGGTCGGGATTTATACCAGCACTAACAAGTGTTGAGAATTGAGTACCACTCAAAACGGTACTAGGGGACGTGAGGTATGTGCACTTATTCATTATCCCGATCATGTACAGACTCAATCAAACCGAGTCAGAAATTTGCATGTAATTTTGTTGTGATTAATGCTTCCACGGGATTACTTTGTTTCCAGAATTTTAAGTAATGAAAATACCTTAAAAACCAATAATATTTATATATGTTGATATTTTGATAAGCTGATATTCTAAACATGTTCTATATACATGTCCGACTAAAAAATGAAACACACAAGCTACCTCACAGACTGTATAAAACTCAGTCGTGCAAAGAACATATATGCAATGTCTCTGATTAATTCAGAACATTTTATAACATTGCGTCACGAACGACTTTGTGGAGCAAAATATGATTTAGTCTATTGTTGGTCCCGGTAGGCAAGATATTTGTATGCATCAGATGCAAACCTAACTGATTACTCACTTCTGTCATAGACTCCATTAGTTGAATATTCTGTGAATGTTAAATGTAAAAAAAATTAAGACAATTGGAATTAAATATTTTCGATATTTTGTTTTTACCGTTAATAAAAGTTGAATACAAATTTAGTTTTTTTTTCTTACGATTGCTGCCAAATGTTTCGCTATGGTTTCTATATTTATATGTTTGCCATAGAAGGCTTGCTTCTTTTTTCTTCATATGCATTATGTCACCTTAAATATTAAAACGTAAACGTTTAGGAAACAATCTGACTGAACATACACTGTAAAAAATGGTAACGCCTGACGCGTTCCACAGGTGTTTGTTAACAAAACGTATGTGTTCTCGTTGTGTGCAGTATAAAAACACATGCGTTTCTTTATGGAACGGGTGTTTATAACTAAAACAGTAATGTGCAGTGTTTAAACGGTTGGTGTTTACATTGGCATGCCTGTGTGCAAACATGAAACGTTTGTGTTTACTTTTATGTCATAAGCTCATCTCGTGTTTTGATTATTAATAACAATCAAAACAGAAACAGAAACATAACAGTCAACAGAAACATAACAGTAAGGATAAGACAATACGAATGTTAAGAAATATTTAATGAGAAAGTGTCTCTGTATTAAACGCCGGTGTTTCAGGGGCGAACATTCTGCGTATGTCATGAGTGCCGATCAAGAACACCTTCTGATATTATCCGAGGTGTTACGAATTTAACTTCCTTTCTCCTGCTGCAGCCGAATTTTTTGGCGCAAATTTTATACCTTTCTTCATTTTGCGTGAATTTAGCAAGGAAAACATAGAAAAAACAACAGCAAAAGGTTAGTACGATGTACTTATGTATTTGTAGATCAAATTCAAAGAGTGAAAAGGCAGATCTTTTTAAGACGGGCGCAATAGAGCATTTTCATTAACCATAAAACTGATTTCCCCACCCACTTTGTTATTTCAAGAATATCGAGTCAAAAACATATAGATCTAGAGAATAACGTGCTACTGTCTTTTGATATTAATTTTATCAGGCGAGGCTGATAAGGACTAGAAAGGGCGAGGCTTGCCGGCAAAGTAAAGATAACAAGAAAATCGTCTAGCCTGTTTGTTATGATTACATGTATAGTATGACATGAACATTGATGATGTCATTTGCAATGTAAATTATGACGTCACTTCATTTAGTTGGTGTTAAAACTATTCGCTATCTAATTAATTCGTAATTGAAATCGAAATTGAAATAACAAATAAATAAATAAATATCGCATCTTGATTTAAGACTTGTATAAGGGTATGAGATTACATTGTAGAATTCACATGCTGATGAAAATGAGAATATAAGCAATTGAAAAAAGTCTGTTAAAAATGGGCGTGACTTATTCATATGAAGTTTTGTACCTTTCTGTTAGCCTAGTTTGTTCATAATTTTGCTTTCAGGATGACTTTAATGTGGCAGTGCTGAAGGCTTTAGAATCAGAAACAGCTTACAGAAAAGGGAAGGGCCAGAAGACTCAGCCTTTGATGCAAATAATTATGGTAAGGGTGTTAGATATTCAAAACTTTTAATGTCCTAAAACTTCTTTTTTATGTGACCAGCTGTGATTCAGTGATTGACATGTCTGTACATCTGTGTACATATTTTACATCAACACTTTTTAGGGAATATACCTTAACATCTTATTTCCATAATTACCAGCATGTCATATTTGGCATGCACACTTGTTTGATAAATAATTAATGCGAGTTTTATTTCAAAACTGATTTATGTAGGTAAACTATTCTAACAAAGAATAAATTTCCATGGTAGTTGTCACTTGATGATAACGCTAAAAATGCTTTTAGCATTCAATTTGAATAATATCTAAGGTTTATACAAATGCTAACAGTTTGTTCTTTTAAAAAACCGATGTTTAAAAATTATCGATATTTGTTTCAGCTTGAAGATGATGGGAATCTTGTGACACTTCTTTCTTCTGCACCAGAGTCGGCACCAAAGTTGGTTGCAATTGAGAACGATGAATGTATTGTGAACATGGCTATTGTTTGTGATGGTACACACATTCTTCTAAAGACAGCCGATTCAATAGGGGCCCTAGCTTTGTCGATTGATTTGTATTACCTTGCAGACCTAGATTATTCAAAGGCATATTCACAGGTTGGTTAAAACAAATTTTCAACAAATTTTAATTATTATGACTCACTTCTGTTTTTAATGCTAAATTTCTATTGTGATCAATTATGTAATATTGTAATAATAAGTCACAAAATTTTGGTTGATGCGCAATGCTCATTGAAAAATGGAGTCACTGGCATCACATTATAAAATGACATTTTGCACTATTCACACCACTGGTGAAGAGTGCTTCAAACTTCCTTCATAAAATTGCATTGACTTGTCCATGTGTATGTGATTTGCCTATCAGACTTTTATGCTTGTTTTTGTTGATGTCAGTTTCAGTACGCTAAGATCTCTTTTGCGAGTTATGAATCAAAACTTTATTTAAAGGAAAGAATTGAATTGATCTATCTAAGAAAATAAATATCCACACTTAACATTGTGCTTTCAGGAAAAGAATGCTACTGCGTGTTTTCCAGTTTTATGTGTTTTTGTGTTCTTAATCACAATTTCAAAAAACCTTTTCCTCAAAATTTGAATCATTACCATGTTTAATGAATAGGGATTTCTGCAATAACTTCTTATGCTAATATGCTACAATGAATAAAATATGTATTTATACACAGGTGCGTGGGTTACTTCAGCAAACTGAACTTCAGCACCAGTTTGATGGGCATAAGAGCTATGGATTTGTTCAATATTTAAAGAGAATGAACATGGAAATGGAGAGAAAAGAAAAGAAGCCAATGTGACTTAAGTGATCCAGCTATCATCAAAGGAAAAGTTGAACTTTAATTTCATTTGGATAATTATCAGTTTACACTTCCTCAGAAGTATGTTTTACTTAACTATAATCTTTTTTGAGAGTCATTAATGATGCCTTTATATGTAACTATTCACACTCTTCATCATAAGTATTTTTGAAGAACTGATTTCATAAATTAGATATGATATTTGCCAGCTGAAGGCATTATTGAGGGGTGAACATGTCATCATATTTAATGACTAGTAAATCCATAATTGTTTTATCCTATGTTTTGTTACAAAGATAAATTGTTTCATTAACTGTAGATTTTTTTGGTTTGCAAGTAAATTAAAAGTTACTAAGTACATACTTTTTTATTATATTTATTTATTTTATGTTTATCACAGATGGTACTTAATGATGATCATGAATTATTAATATATGGCTTCTGATCATCTATGATGCTAATTACAGAGGATGACTGTTGCACAATCCATTTATATAAATAGCACAATATTTCATGAAAAAACACACATATTTTATAAAAAGCGAATGATTTTAACCAATAGAAATCTGGCTATCTTAGTACAAATTAATAATTTTATATTTCTTGCAACAGATGATTATAGCATTAGTGTTGCATGACACAATGTTAAGTTTTTTAGACAAAGAAAGGCAACCATGGACTTCTGATATTTATTTGGAACTTCACCATTTTGTGTATGCAAATATAAGTTCACATAAAAAGACCAATAACTCTGTTCTGCATTTTGACTAAATGTTGTTCCTTTTAGAAAATTCTGCACATATAAAATTATGTATTTTTTTTGTGTGAAAGTTGTATCTCCAGTCATAGAATTTTAGCCGAAACTTTGTACATGTGTTAGATACGAAAATATTATTTACTAATACCCATTCAAGGTAATTATGCCTCATTTCGGAGTAAATGCATTGAGAATAGTGCAGGCATGTTGTCGCTCTAACAGCTCATTTCATGCTTGTGTTTACCAAAGTTGTATTCTTGAATTATGTTAAATTAAAAATGAAAAAAACTGTATATTGTTAACTTATAATAAATAAATTCCAAAAATACTTTATTAGCATTTTTTGTAGTTACAATATGCTGTACATGTATTTCCTTAGTTGTTTTGATCTTACCTGAACATATACAGTAAACACGTAATGCATTTGAAATTGAAATATGTGACATGTTTATCAGGAACACTTTGAAAGCAGCACATGTGGGTTTGGAAACATGTTGCAAGTTCCAGTTTGAAACACCAATTGTGTTTACTGTACATGTTCAGGTGTTCCCAAACTGTAACATAACAAGTGTTCTGCTATGAAACGTGTCACATGTTTCAGTTTGAAACACCAGGAAGCGTGTAAAACGGGAACATCTGTGCGTTTATTCGTGAACATGTGACGTGTTCCATTCTATAGTGTTTCCAAAGTGTAACAGGAAAAGTGTTTCGAAATGTGTTTAAAACTTAAACACCCGTTTTTACAGTGTATTCAGCTCATATATTTTGTAAATTGTTAAAGCTTTTAGGTTTCTTAAAAAAAAACAGGAAAAAAAAAAAAAAAAAAAAAAAAAAAAAAAAAAAAAAAAAAAAAAAAAAAAAAAAAAAAAAAAAAAAAAAAAAAAAAAAAAAAAAAAAAAAAAAAAAAAAAAAAAAAAATAAAAAAAAAAAAAAAAAAAAAAAAAAAAAAAAAAAAAAAAAAAAAAAAAAAAAAAAAAAAAAAAAAAAAAAAAAAAAAAAAAAAAAAAAAAAAAAAAAAAAAAAAAAAAAAAATATAAAAAAAAAAAAAAAAAAAAAAAAAAAAAAAAAAAAAAAACAAAAAAAAAAAAAACAAAAAAAAAAAGAAAAAAAAAAAACAAAAAAAAAAAAAAAAAAAAAAAAAAAAAAAAAAAAAAAAAAAAAAAAAAAAAAAAAAAAATGCGGGGTTAATTCGTTTCGTTTATTTATTTTTTTTACTTTTTCGTTATAACAAATTTAATAGTCATTTCCGACATTGCGACTGTCCAGAAAACCGAGACATTTCTTTAAAATTATAAACTTAAGTCCAAAAAGAAATTAAGAAAACATAAATACTTTTAAGAAATAAATCTTAATCTTCATACATCATCGTGTGCCAGTATGTCTGGGCTTTGTAATAATCTATTCCCTACAGTGAACAGTAGACGCACAATTAAGTATAATCATAGTAATTTTATCCTACATTAGCGACAAAAATCACTAATTTGCAACAAGCATTATGGTATGAAGGACAATAGTAATATTTTGTTTAAAAGGTTTTATATTGGATGACTTGTTGACGAACATGTTCCAATACAATATAACACGGCCTATGGCCGTGTAAAACGGACTAACATCCCAATTTTACCTGTACCGTCAATTATACATATGTGATACTAAATAACACATCAGAAGTGTCATTCATAGATGGTCGTCCGCAACAAGAATCATCCAGAAAAAAAGCACACTTTATTGTCCTAATATATGACTAGCCGTTTGCAAATGAGATAAGTGTTGTTTTTTTTTCTATGTTTATTGTTATATTTTGTCAAGAGCAATCTGGAATTTAATAAAAGATTGCGTATCACAAGCTTGCTGTATTTTCTCGTCTCTATGTTCTCTTTTGTGTTGCTGCAAATTTTGACCTTAACTGAGAGGATATTTGTTTGTTTTGCATGTAAGATTGAAATATAATTTCACTGAGTAAACACCAGATGCAATATTGTCACGAGTGGCGTAGCCAAGAGTGAAAACATAATAGCTGGTGTTCACGAATGGAATATATTTCAATCTTATATGTAAAACATATAAATTTTCTTTTTATTTCATGCTTTTTAAGTGATTTTAAGTACTTTTTTACTAATTTTGCCGCGCATAACGTCGCGCATTCTCCCTTGTGACGTCATCACATCATAACGTCACATTATCAATTTTGAAATATAGGTCTGTTACATCTCTCTTATTGTGTTTCATTTTTAACATTATGTATGATGACATCGACTTTCTTTTCCTAAAGAAGCAAAATTTACGCATGACGCCATTTATTTCTACCTGTAATTCCATTTAGTTATGATTTTCGTTTAATCCGCATTCAGATATAGTCCGGCTACAGTGAAAATTATATTTTATAAATTTCACTAGTGCTTTATCAGAATATAATCATCTGATATATTACAATAAAACACTGGAAAGCATGAAATAAACTTATATCTTTTACTTTCACTGATTTAATGTAATGTAAAACATTATAATTTGTCTTGAAATATGTTTACTTTGTTACAGAATTAGTTTTGGATAAAAAAAAAGTCTACAGTGTTCCTTTTATGTACTTAAAATAACGTTTATCTTGAAATTATGTTTTCTCTTCCTGAAGCGTTAATCTATGTTTTATTTCTTGTTTTATTTTTATTCGTTTAATAAATGCAGTAGAAAAAAGCGATTCAAATATAAAGTCATTCCATAGTTTTTCAAAATCACGTATTTTCTAAGGAAAGACATCATATAAAGACATTAATCTAAGAAATTTAACTACGTTTATTGTAAACAACACATATAAATCACATTTCTGGCACAATCAGTGCACAAACAAATACATCCATGTCTTTTTGTTGGTGCAGCACTAGTTCTGTTATGTATATAGTACATGAGATAAATGTTAAAACTATCATTTTATTAAAGAATATAATTTTGTGATTCAAAGAATAATGTCTCGAATGATTAACCTATTATTACTTACATATATAGTCGCTGCTTGCAATAACTTCACTTTGCTCAATTGAACATTGCTTTCTTGTTTAAATGCTTTGTATGCAACTCTTGCACTTATTCCTGACAAATGATGCATTAATATCCGGTACAATCCAAATCAAAGGAATATATGTCTTGTTACATTAAGGTAACTTTGCTGTTCAGAGACATGACGGGTAAATATTTTGATACTTACAGCATTCAGTGTGGTTATAAGTAAACTACAAAGAAAGGTTTAAGCACACTAATCGAAACCAAATAAACGTCTTAAAACTTAAATTTGAATATTTAAAGCGTCTTAAGTTAAGATATTTAGAATCCTGTCAGAAATCCTCACATATACTGCTGATTATGTCACTTTAAGTTGTGTTGTTTTTTTTTTTTGGGGGGGGGGGGTTAAACTTGCATTTTGCTATTTTGATATGTTAGAAGCATTTCAACGGCGTTCTTATAATTCATAGACGTCAAATATACAATTCAAGAAACACAAAATGCAGTAAATGAAAAGAATGGAACATATATA